AGCCATAAAAAGGAATAAAATACTGATAGCCACTACAATATGGATGAACCTTGAAAAACCCCGCTGCCCCTCCCTTGGTTAGCCACTGCTGAGGACTTCCCTAACAGTCATGCTCCAAGGGCCTTACTTTCAGTATTTTTACTTCCTACATTTTTATAAGCTGATTCTTTGGGTCTTTTGGACTGAATCGTCAAGTTTTACTGTTCCTTTTTGGTGAGTTTTGGTTGAGCCATGGCTGTTTTCAATTTTTCTTTCTCATTTAATGGCATCTGAAGTTCTGGCATTTCATCCATCCATCCATCCATCCATCATCTTTTCATCCACCCATTTTGTCATTCATTCAACAAACCCAAATTGTGCATCTACTATGTTCCAGATATTCTAAGTACCAAGGATACAGTGAAGGTCCTTGCCCTCATTTAACTTGTTTCAGGGCCTCGCTCCTCCAAGTGTGGTCCTGGGACCAGCCTCACGTGGGAGCTTGTAAGTGTTGCAGCATCTCCAGCCCTGCTCAGCCCTACTCAAGCAGAATCTGCATTTAGCAGGATCCCCAGGTCATTTGTGGGCCTGTTAACTGTGAGAAGCACAGATCGCGAGGACTAGATGGGAACTTAGGTGTGGGTGAGACGGAGTGTTGTTTTTTAGAAGTTAAATGCATCCTCGATAAAGGAGACCTTTGGAAAGTGGCTTAGGAAATGCTCTCATTCACCCCTCAGCCTGAGTCTCTTCGCATTTTGGACAGTCCACAGCACAGTACTTTTGCCTGACTTTCAGGCACCCAGAATTCTTCTATATTGTTCACTGCGATGGACAGAGTAATCACCCCCAAGATGGCCATGTCCTAAGGCCCGGAGCCTGTGACTATGTTGCCCTGTGTGGCAAAGGAGACTTTGCGGGTATGATTAAGTTAGGGGTCTCCAGCTGGGACATTATCCTGGCTTATCTGGGTGGGTCTCATGTGAGCAGAAGAGTTCTAGTAAAAGGCAGGCAGGAATTCCAGAGGGGAGAGAAGATGCTGCGGACGCTGCTGGCTTTGAAGATGGAGGAGGGGCCTCCAGCCGCAGGATGTGGGCAGCCTCTGGAAGCTGGAAAGAGCAGGGAGAGGGACTCTGCCTTGGAACCTCCAGAAGGAGCCAGCTCTGCCCGCACACACCTTGATTTGAACCCCTTGAGACTCATTTTGGATTTCTGACCTCCTGGGCTGTAAGAGAACAGATTTGCGTTAAATCGCTAATTTTGTGGTGGTTTGTGACATGGAAACAAGCAGACCCACACTCAGCCCAGAACGTGACTCCACATTTGACAAAATGCCTTTGATTCTCGCGAGAAGCATGCCGTTTCTCTAGATGACCCGTGTGATTTCAGACAACCTGGACATGGCCTCTGGCTTCCCCACTTCCTGGCTGGGTCCTTCATTTGTGAAGTGCTGAGGGCCGTGGACTGAATCGGGGCCTTCCCTCTGTGCTCTGTGGAGCCGTAGCTGCAGGGGAAGATCCCCCCTGCTCCCTGCAACCAGAGCCCCTCACCGCCCTTCGTGTCACATGCCCTGCTTCTCTGCAAGAGTTCATTTAAACACAACCTCCCACGTCAGAGAACGTGTTTGAAAGCCGCTGCTTTTAAAAGAATATTTATACTAAAATGTTGGGGAGACAACAGAAACCCGACTTTCCTGAGATGTTCTCTGAGCCCCCTGCCTGCCCCATCGCAAGTCCGTCTAGGATTTTTATCTGGCTCTCTTTTCCCAGGGGAAACAGGGAGGGCATTACCCTAGCCATTTCCGGAGACTTGCTGTGTGCCGTTGGGCAAACAAATTCACCTCTCTGAGCCTTAGTTTGCCCGCAAATTGTCAAATGAGGGAGTGAATCATGCCCGCCTCCCAGCTTTATCAAAAGAATCAATGAAATGATGTGGCCAAGTGTGGTGTAATAATAACAATACCAATAACAATGGTTGAGCGCCAACTCTGTGCTGAGTGCCTTGCTCTGCCCTTATTTGATTCTCACATCTCCAGTCCGAGGGAGGCACAATGACTGTCAGTTTCCAGGCCGGGAGAAGGGGTGGCGCTGGGATGCCACTGGAGGGAAAGGCCGCCTCTGCCAGGACAGGTCCTCTGTGCACACATCCTGGCCCAGGGGCTCCTCAGCCCACAGTCCCTGAGCCCGTGATTGGCATTTGCGTAAACAGACTGAAGGGGAAGGTTAAGGCCAGATACTTAACAAGTCTGAGAAAACGGACTGTTTGTATCTAGCCTCTCCCCAACGTCTCACCCCCAATGTGGATTCTCCCCTCTTTTTACAGCAGAAAAAATGCACGAGTCATGTGTACATATATATACACACACATATATGTACATATATACATGTAGGTATGTATATGTAATATATATGTCTCTCTCTCTCTCTCTATATATATAGTATGTGCAAAGCTGAGTATCAGAATTTGAGATCAATCCTTTTCTTCCAGGAGCCCCATTTGCTTAGGAAAATCAAGCTGGAGCCCCGGATGGCTGAGTGGGCGATGAGTGAGTTTCTCTGGTGACAGTTTCACTCTGTGGATGGCCAACTCTCAGTGGGGTGTGTCCTCACCCATCCCCCCCAACCATTCCAGCAAGCCACCTGGAGACCGGGTGAGCCAGGCCCCAGACGCTTCCGGCCTGCAGCGAGCTGTCCACGCCGGGACTCCGAAAAAGTCACCAAAGGGACTTTTTCTGCCCATCTCCTAAGGCCCGTCTCCTAAGGCCCCACCCCTTTCCATAGTAGCCGTGTGACTGGTGCCACGTGGGGGGCCTTGGCGTTTGTGCCAAGGCAAACGGTCAGGAGCCACCACGCCTGCCTCATGTCCCTCATGTCTGATCGGAAGCCATCGCCAGGGTTCAAGGAAACCCTGGCTGCTCTCCCCGGAGACCCACAGGATAGGAGAAGCTCTGGGACAGGATACGTGCACACAAAAAATATATGGTAATAAAGTAGGTACCCAGAGGCCCACAGGAGGGGAAACCTTCAAGACAGTATATATCCAAGTAAAAAATGTACGTGCCCTGCCTGTAACTTCCTGTGGAAGTTATGCTCAGACATGCCCAGAAATGTATGTGGAAGGATGTTGATTGCACTTGGCGTTGTGCTGAGGGAGAGAGGCTGGGCTCAGAGGACTGTGCGCTCCATGATCCCGTTTATATGGTGTTCTGTGGGGACAGGGCCCACTGGTGGTTGCCGGGCTCAGAGGCAGAGGGTAGGGCACAGAGGAACTTCCTGGGTGACGGAGGTGTTATGGTCTTGATGGTGGTAGTGGTGGTGCGCCTGTGCACCTTTGTCAGAACTCATGAAACCGTGTGCTGAGAGGGAGAATTCCACTGTGTGAAGATTGTGCCTCCACACCTGGCTTAAAGAAATGCACGTGGGAGGACATTGATGGCAGCCATGTTTGTGACAGCAAAAGACAGGAAACAGCTGAAACGCGCAGTCATAGAGAATGGTCAGTAACAAATAGCACCTCCACATAAGGGAGTACTACGCGGCTACGAAAAGGAAGAGAGATGTGTGTATACCAAAATCAAATGATCACCAAGAGTTATCTGGAAAATGGTGCATATGGTATTTACCATTTGCATAAAAAAGGATATAGATTTGTATATGCTTCTATGCATAGAATATCTTTGGAAAAATAAAAAAAATTGATAATAGTAGTTGTATTTGAGAAGTAGCTAGGAGTGATGAGAAAAATCTAAATTTTACTTTATACCCTTAGATACTGCTCATGTTATTAATTTACCATGAACATTTAGTGCTCAAAAAATACCCTGAATCTTTCTGGTCCATTTCTTGACTGCCCTTGATATACAGGCTCTTCCTGTGTGCGATGTCGCATCTTAACAGATCGTGCAAGGTAAGCCTTGTGGGTACAAAGGGGGTCCAGAGCCCACCTGGTTTTCTTACCACCCCCTACAAGATGGGAGTGGCACTGCTTTCTTTATGGATTTGCTTAACCCATAAAGCATCAGGTAAAGCATCGGGTATACAGAAGGTGCTGAATTGATGTTATTTCATCGGGTAAAGCATCGGGTATACAGAAGGTGCTGAATTGATGTTATTTCTCTCTGCCTTAGTCTGCTCATACCCACTCTGTTTTTCAGTCCTGGTTTTAGGCAACTGGAGAGAAAATTCCCACTGACCATCACATTCCGCTCACGGGGACCATTTCTGGGCTGTATTCTTCTCTTTCCCATTTCAAAAGGGGGGAAGGGCCCCACAAGTCAAGCACTGCTCTTGTTCTGTACCTGGAGATTTTCTTGCCACTCCCACCAGCCAAGGATGGGGGAGCGTTTCTTGAAGGGATAAAAATATTGGTATAGAATAGAGGGTTGAATACTTTTTCTGGAATAATAAGTCTCATCCATTCATTCAATGGCATGCTGGGGGCTGGACTTACAGGTGAGCCAGAGACATGGTCTCCACCTCCTGGAGGTCACAACCCCCCCTTTATTGAGGTCGGGTCTATTGAAGTATAATTTACATACAGTAAGTTCACCCCTTTTAGTGGACACCTTATGGGTTTTGATGAATACCTGGAATCATGTAAGCCCCAGCACAGTCAAGGCAGAGAACCATGCTATCCCCGTGCCCGGACTTCCTCGTGCTCCTTTGAGGTCAGCCTTCCCCCCAGCTCTGTCTTCTTTACGGATCTGCCTTTTCCAGAATGTCCTCTAAATGGGATCATACAGGATGTGGCCTTTGAGTCTAGCTGCTTCCCCTTCGCAATACATTCGAGATTCATTCGTGCAGTTCCGTGTGTCCAGTTCATCCGTTTTCACTGCTGAGTAGTATTCCACGCTGTGGATGTACTGCTTTGGTGCCATCTTGGGGACAAAGAGAGAAGAAAAGCACCTAACCTTGACTGCGTTGGTCCTGAGCTGATGGAGCTGACTGGAGTGGACCGCATTAAATTTTCTCCCACAGGCGGGGTTAGTTCTGGAAGGGCAGGTTCGATTGTTACGGTGAAATGGATAAATGCCGTTGCCTGCACCTCCAGCTCTGTGGACGGAGAAACGCATGTTCGCTCGGCTGGGGACAATAAGGCGCCAGCTGGCCAGAAAGTGAGGAAGGGCCCAGGAAAGCCCCGCTCCCCCAGGCTTTGTGACAACAGTGCCGAGTCACAGAGGTCCTGCCTGTCCCTGAGAGAAGCTTCTTCCCCTTCCTGGGCGCCCTGGCCCCTGGGGCAGAGTTTTGCCCGGGTGGGGCTGAAGGGGGAGGATGCAGTTCCTTGGAACCACTCAGACCGCCAGTTATTGTGGCCCCAGGAAAGCCTCTGGCTTTGGTGTGCTGCCTCCAGCTGTGCAGGCTCCTGTGGTCCAGGAATGTTACCAGCCCTATTACCTGCCTGGGTATCGCTACCTCAACTCGTGGAGACCCAGCCTCCTCTGCAAGGTGTCTGATGTCCAGACCTGCCCAGACGAGGGAACCACGTGCAGAAGCCCCCTGAGGCCGCCCACCATCCTGCCCGTGCTCCACTCCACGCTCTTCTGTCGCCACAGCCCCCGTGACTGGGACCAGACCAACCAGCTGCAGATCGGCGGGGCCGAGGCCTCACGGCTGTGGGCTGGCCGGCTGATGGGCGACTCCATGCGGCTCATGCAGGACAAGGACCAGCTGACACGCCAGATGCAGGAGGGGACCTGCCGGAACCTGGGCCAGAGGCTCTCGGATATCAACTTCTGGAAGTCTGAGCTGAGCTATGAGCTGGAGAGGCTGCTGAACGAGAACCACGGCATGGAGAAGGTCAAGAGGCGGTTGGAGTGCGCGGCCGAGGAGGTGAACTGTCCCCTGCAGGTGAGTGGCGGGCCGGGAGGGGGCGAGGAGGCCGCTGCGACGCAGCCCCACGCGCCCCACTGCTCTTGAGTGAAGATCAAGGTGACAGGAGCCTTGCAGGTCCGTTTAAGCTGCGTCATCATCTATGATCAGTTTTTAAGGTAAAAAATGGAATCTTAGTCAATTCAGGATTCTCCCAGTCAAATCAGGGCTCCTCGGACTGGATCGAATTTCCTTTTCTCCTTGGGAGAATTCTACAGTTGTGTCAGAATTGCAGAGATTTCATCAAGACATTACATGCATGCCTGTGCGTGCCTGTGCCTGCATGTGTGTGTGCATGCGTGTGTGTGTGTGTGTGTGATGGTCTTAAGAGGAAACACAGGAACTGCTTTCTTTTTCTCCATAGCCCTTAGCACCTGCTAACATACTCTGTAATTTATGCATTTCTGTCTTTATTGTTTTTCTCCCTGCTGGAAATACAGGCCCAGTGAGGGAGGGATTTTTGTCTGCTCTGTCACCAATGTGTTTAAGACTGTTAGTCTTTGTGATGTCCCCGTATGCCTGTTCTGGTTGCCTGTTGTCTAGACCAGCGTTTTGAGTGGCTCCCCAGCCTCACACAATGTTGGTACACAGTAGGCACTCGATAAGTATTTGTTGAATAAATGAATAAATGCCTGGCTGTGGACGTTCTCGATGCTTCTTGGTCTCCAGTCTCCAGGCAGATCCCAGATCAGCTGGCTTGCCTTGAGCTGCATGTAACAGACACTCGGCTATAGCAACTTGGTCAAATAGGAACCCATTTTTCTATCGTGGTGAGAATTCCAGAGGGAAACTGATCAGGCTGCTGCAGCCTCCGCTGGATGCCAGAAGGGACCCTGGCTCCTCTCTTTGGTTTGCCCATCCTTAGCATATGGCTTTTGTCCAGCTTGCAAGGAGCATTTTGGTATTCTCGTTTGGGGCAGGAAGATGCGGGTAGGACAAAAGGCAAATGAGCCAGTTGTGTCGTCCCTGTTTATCAGGGAGTATCAGCTTTCCAGAAGGCCCAGCATGGGAGTCCATTTTTAGCCCATTTGCCAGAACTTGCACGGGCTCCCTGGCTGCCGGGGAGTCTGGGTAAGTGTTTTCACGCGGTCCCGGCGTGGACACTGGGTGAGGAGCCAGCGGTGCTGTCTCGTGCTGTGGGAGCTCATCTTGGCCACACAGGATGAGGTTCTGCTGCTCCCTGGAGCGTGTAGGGACTCAGAGCCTCCTGCTTGGAGCGGCCGTTTCCACTGCGTGTCAGGGGTGGGGACTTCTGTAGCAGAGGTCCTGCCTCCAGATCCCCCCAGAGACATGGCACAGGTTCCAACCACTGGGGGTGTCCTCCTGTTTCCCTGTACCCCCAGATTTCTCCCCTGCTCAGGCACCCAAAGCAGCATCCCAGATCTCTTGCTCTCCTCTCCCACTCTCTTCTCGCTCTCCCAGCCTGGCTGGAAAACCCAATTCTGCCCCAGCACACGTGGCCACCTCTGACAGCCACGTGGTGGCACGGGGACCAGAGGCATCTCGGCTTTATCGACTTCTCTCCATCTCCAGTATTACGGCCTCAGTGCAGGCGGCCTCTCACTGGACAGTGTGACTGCCTCCTTCCTGGCCTCGCCACTTTTCCCCTCCAACCCGTTTTCCAGATAGCAGCCAGAGGGGTGATTTTAAATATTAAACCAGACCACCACACTCTGCTGCTAAGACCTCCTTGTGGCTTCCTAATGCACGGTAGTCAACATCTAAATTCCTTGTCATAGCCTCTAGCCTCCACACAGCCCAGCCTCTGCCCGCTGCTCCAGCCTTCCTTTCTCTACTCCAGTCCCAATGGCTTCCCGTCTTCTCTTTCTCTTACCTCAGGACCTTTGCACCTGCTGTTCCCTCTTCCTGGTGCATTATTCCCATTCATCTCTGCTGCTTCTAGTGATTCAAGTCTCAGTCTGTCACCTCCTTAGAGAAGTCCTCCTCAGCCCCCCACATCGCCCTGACAATTTTCGTGACAGCCCTTATCACCGTCAGAAATGATCGAGTTTCTTTATGTGTTTAATTGTGTGTGTTCTGGCCCCTCTGTTAGAACTCCATTAGAGCAGGGACCATCGAGTTCATTGCAGTATCCCCAGAACTTTGATCGAGAAGGACACAGACAAGGGGCTCAGGAAATTTTTGTGGAGCGAATGAATCCCCCTCCTTTCTGAGTTCCCAGATGCCTTTGCATCCCGACACCAAGACATCACCCTCCCCTGCTTCCTTCGCACCCCCGCTGCTCTTTGTGACGTCACAGGCTGGGGGCCCAATCACCGTTCTTCCTCAGTCTCCTGTTCCCCGGAGTCGCGGCTTCTCCTGTTTCTGTTCCACTCTGCTCGTGTCTCCATGACAGTTATAAGGTCCATGGCCATGCGGCAGGGTTGCCTGGGTCTCACTTGGCCCTGGCCACTTTCCAAAGGGTTTTCACGTATATTCACAAGCGAGATTTATTGACAGTATTCTGAGCGCTCTCCACCTGTCAAGCGGACTTAACCTGTACAGCAGACCTGTGAGAGACGCACCAGTGTTGCGCCCATCTGCAGTCATGGCCCCACAGCGCCCACCCAGATGCGTGGTGATGAGACCACGTGAAGCATCCAGGTTTCTGGGCGTGAAACAGGTCATGGCGATGGTGGGTGTGCGTCCCCTCCGCTGAGGGTCTGCATCCAGCTGCAGGAAGGACACACGCTTCCCGCTGCTCCCTACAGGTGGCCCTCGAGTGCCTGTACCATCGCGAGAAGAGGATAGGGATTGATTTGGTCCATGACAACGTGGAGAAAAACCTTATCCGGGTAAGGTGCCACTGGGTCTGCCCAGCCCCCTGAGCAGGGAGGGAGGGCCAGCTGGTCAGAGAGGTTTCTGAGCTGCCCGTCAGGAGCAGAGGCCACATGAGTCTCCCCACGCAAAGTTAGGGCTCCGAAAGCATGGGTGGGGGCCTCAGGTGCAGTTTAGGAACAGGGAGAAATGAGGTCAGTGACCCTCAGTCTTTTCATCTCCAAAATGGGCGTCCTCGTAATAATACCAATAAATAACAATAATTAAAGCCAGCGTTTATTGAACACCGACTGTATGTCACCCGTTGAACCAACTTGTATGCATTAATTTAATGATAAAATGATCTGTAGGCGAGCACTTGGCACATGGTAGGTGCTCAATTTCCTTTTAATCTGGAAGTATATAAAAAGAAAGGAAAGTAGGAGAAAGAGTGTGGAGCCTCGACAGTCGACCACGGCAGGCCGACCCTGTGATTGTGCGGGTTGAGGCAGGAAATGGACCCCACCCTGACCCTTCAGCTCACGAGGTCCAGGGAGGCAGTGAGAGGCGAGGGGTGGGGGCACTGGCCGGGCAGACAGGATGCTGTGAGTTTCTAAGCGAGACCGCTCTCTCTGATGTTTTTCATTGCAGGAAGTAGATTTGCTCAAATGTTGCCAAGATCAGATGAGAAAACTAGCTCAAAGAATTGATATCCAGATGCGGTAAGAGCTGTTCTCTCTCCCTCTTCTTGGACTTTGTTTTGGATCTCTGGGGTTGCTGGGGGCAAGCCAGGTGGACCCCCCTGTCTCTTAGTGGTTCTTTTGGTCAGTGGTGTGCTGGTAAATGTTTAACAACCATTTCTCCAGGAAAGAAAAAAAATTCCTGAGTAGTAGCATTTGCCAGTTTCAGGGGTGTAAATGCTGCCTCTGGGGCTGACTTCAGTCTCCCCCAGTGAGGACCCTGAGATGTGCGCCATTGATTTCCATGAGCCAGCACATCAATGGTCCTTCTTGTTTGCAGTGAGGGCTTTGCAAAAGCAGTGGTCCTCTCTGAGGCCCCGCTCAGCCCGTGGCTTCCCTGTGCCAGTTCTGAACTTCAGGATCGGCTGAGAGTGGGTGGCATTAGGCATCAAGGTGAGAGGCCGGGCCGGGGCCTCTCCAGGGGGGCTGGTGGATGCCTTGAACCAAGAGTCTTCCAAAGGAATCAGCTTCTTGTTCTTGGAAGATTGTGTAACTGGTGTCCTCACGAGCCAGGAGGCTCCCACTGGGATTAAAGGGAGGCTGGAGTTTTAAGGGCTTGGGGCCCACAGTGAAGCCTTGGGCACCCAGCTGCCCCGGAGGCCGCCTTCCTCCCTGGCCCTTGAGCTAGACACTTGCCTTTAACGCTTGCAAGGCACGCTGCTTGGCTGGTTTCTCCTCCTCCCTCACTCAGACGGAGACAGCAAGAGGCGGGCTGGAAACCTTACCGGGGCTGCCCCTTGCTGCAGTGCGGGGCATGTGGGCAGCCCCGGTAAGGATGCTCAGGGCTCAGGCAGCTTGCACATAGGCTCTGGGGGCTTGGTGCCTTGGCTTGATGTACCCCAGAAATAGCAGTCACCCCTCCACACACACACACAGCAGCCCCTCAGCTCTACTGTGGCAGTGAGAACTGAGTGTCAGGGTTGTGACAGAAGCTCCCAGGATGGAATAGCATCCCGGGCAGTGTTGACAAGCTACGTGCAGGTCAAAGGGCCCAATCTCTGACCCCGCCCAGTCCTTGGCTCTGCCCAGTCCCAGACTCCATGATCCTTAAGGAGCAGGTCGCCAGTCCCTGAACACCTAGGAGTCTCGAGCTTCTCTGCTCTTGTGCGTGTAGTGTCCTCAGCTGGGAATTCTCATTCGCCCACCCAACTTTGTCCCTAGTGTCTACTGCTTTTGTTAGGAAAATCCAGCTCCGACGCCTCCTCGGAAGCCTTCCCTGACCACCCCCTCTCCCTGAATTAATGCCTTCCTTCTCTGTGTTGCTGTTACCATTCTGTACGGTGTTTAATTTTCCTGTATTTATTTACGCAACTCTGTGAGCCACCTGAGGGTAGTGACTGGGTCTTATCCAGGTCTTTTCCACTCTGTGCCTGGCATAGGGTCAGACACGATGATTTGTGAACTGATTTTGTCCAGAGGGTGAGTTCATATCTTCTTAATCAGGTTGGCAAACTGCAGCGGGAGGGCCAGGACTGGCCCACCACCTGTTTGTGTAAATAAAGTTTTATTGGGACAAAGCCACACCCATTCATTCACGTATTATCTATGACTGCTTTCTTGAATAGCTGAGTAGTTGCAACAGAGACCATATGACCCACAAACCTCAGATATTTACTACTTGACCTTTTACAGTAATGTTTGCCTGCCCGCGTTCTAAATGACAACAGGTCTGCATGGATAGGGGCAGGGGAGGCCCTGGGTAGTGGTGGGGGCATCACAGTGGGAGGAGGGCTGAGAAGCCACTGGGGGTGGACAGAGCACCCTCTTGGAAGTCAAAGACTTGACTTTCAGCAGTGGCTCTACACCCACCTGCCGTGTGACCTGGGGTGACGGACTCTGGGTAAGTGCACCATCCAGGGACAAATTTTTCTCCCCTACCCCAGGGATAACCGAGATTCTCAGCACGCCCTGGAGAGGGACCTCGAGGACAAAAGCAGGGCCCAGTTTATCGATGAGAAGTGCTTCAACCTGAGGAACACGTCAGACTGCATCAGCTTCTTCCACGGTGTGGAGAAAGTCGATGGCACGTAAGCACTGGGCTCCCGCTCCCCATGCCTGGTGGGGCCTGAGGGGAGCGAGGGTTTCTGAGTCTCCTGCTGCCAAGGAACCTTAAAGAGGCATCGTGTGCCAGCCAGTGTGAGGCGCTGTGGATGAATGGGGATCCTGTGTCACAAGCCACAGTATCCAGTTCTGGCAACTTAAGACACGATGGAATTCGCAGGAAGGCTGTGAGAGCCACAGACTCAAGGGGAAGGTTCTGGCAGCTTGAAAGAGCCAGGGAGTGGGAGCTGATCAGATATGTTGTCAGAGCACCACTGTCTTTCCAATCTTGCCCCATTTTGCCCGAGATTCAGATTTCAGCAAGAGCGAGCAAGCGATTGGCTTAATGAGGGCCACATGGCCACTGCCACTCGGCCAGGGCATGCTGGGGCACCTCGATGGGCAGCTCCGCCAAACCAATCCCAAAACAAAAGGGCTGTAACGAGAAGGAGGGGGAATTCAGGCTCGGCAGGGAGAGCCAACTGACGCCCACCAGCGCTGGAAGTGGTTTAAGAGAGGCTTCTGGAGCCAGGCTGCCTGGCGTGTGAAGTGCTGAACGCAGAGCCTGGTGTAGTGGTATGACAATGGCTAACGTTTACTGAGTGCTTGCTGTATGCCCTCATTTGCTCGTCACAACAGCTGTGAGGTAGGTGCCTTCTCCACGCCCGGCCCTGTCGGGGCCACATCACAGAACCTCCTGCAGAACTGAGGCGTGCTTTCCCAGTTGGCAGTCCAGTAACGAGGGCTCTGGGTGCAGGCCGAGAGTGGCGTCTGTTTTGGTCCCTTTTTAAAAATTCTCTCGCATGTAGCATTGTGCTTGGCACATAGTAGGTGTACAGTAAATGTTTGTCAAATGAAAGGGGGAAGAGAGGGAGGGAAGAGAGAAGGAAGGAAGGAAAGGCATTTTCTGGCAGCGTCCTGGGCCCACGCCCGGGGGCGCTTTCTGGATCATGGTAAATATGGAAGGGATGAGAGGACCCTTTGCGGTTTCCGGCAGTGCCAGCTCCTGGGGAGCCGCCTCATCTGCCTGACAAGGTTGACTCCCCCACAGCACTATAAGGTGAGCAGGCCTTCAGGGGCCTCAGCCACAGCTGCCCAACTGGCCAGGGGGTCTGGAGGGTTCTCTTCCCAAACTGAGGCCTCCCCAAAAACGGGGCAGCCAGGCCGGCTGGCAGAGACTCGATTTCCATGCCCAGGAGGGGTCCGCTGTTTAAGGTCCCTCTTGCAGCGACCCCAGCTGGAAAGAGAGAGCCGCCATCGGTGGGGACTAACGGCTCCCCAGAGGTACTAGCTCAGGGCTTCGTATTTGGGGTTTTCTTTTCTCTCTCTTTTTTTTTTTAAAGATTGGCCCTGAGCTAACATCTGTTGCCAATCTTATTTTTTTTTCTTTTCCTCCTCCTCCCGAAGGTCCCCCAGTACGTAGTTGTAGGTCCTCAGCATGGCCTGACGAGCAGTGCTAGGTCCACGCCCAGGTTTCAGACCAGTGAAACTCTGGGCCACCGAAGTGGAGCGTGCTAACTTAACCACTCGGCCATGGGGCCGGTCCCTGGGGTTTTCTTAAAGCAGGGCTGTGTGTGGGCAGGTTAAAGGACATCTGGAGACTCTGAATTGCAAGATCTCTGTTCCCTGCTGTTCTCATTGCAGTGGATTAGCCGATGATGGTGATGATGACGAATATGATAATGATGATAATAGATGCCTTTTACCTGACGTTTGCTGTGTGCTAGGCACTGTGCTGAGAGCTTTAGACACAGTGTCGCATGATAATAAACATTTATCAAGCGCCCACTATTGTCAGGTGCCATCATAGAGGTTTCACATGTACTCACTCAGCAACCCTGGGGGTAGGCACCAATATTATCCCCATTTTACCATGAGGAGACTAAGGCTCAGAGAGATGAAGTGACTGGCTCAACGTCACACAGCAAGTGGCAGAGCCGCAATCTGAGTCCTCACTGAACACTAGACCTGTGTCACTCCCGTCCTGCCTCCCCAGCAAAGCCTGCTGTCTCCTCCATCTCTAGAGGCCACAGGTTATTCTATAGGGAGCTCAGCTGTCTGCTCCAGAGGAGGGCAAGGGCTAGAGGTCGCTGCTCGTGACACTGACAGCGTCCCATCCAGCAGCAGGAGATCCACGCACAGTCAATCTGCAGGTCTCTATCTGCTGTCCTTATTGCCTCCTCCTTCCGCCTTCAATGGTGAATAGCTGTGTGACCTTGGAAGAGACACTTCACCTCTCTGAGCCTCGGGTCTTTGCTGGATGAAAGCTCTGGATCAGACACAGTGCCCTCTCCCAGGAGCCCGAGACCCCTGTTTATTTCTTGATGCTAACTCCTGCAAAAGCCAGACAAAACAACCCCATATTGTACATGTTCTTTAAAATATTTCTATTCACAGTGCAATCTAAGCGTGCTTTAAAATGGCTGGAAAGAGACTTCTATTTCAGAAAATTGAGTCTCTTTTTGCCTACTGCCTGAGAATAAAAATCTGCTTTATTTAAAAACTGCAGACTTCCTGGTTAAAAAAGACCTTGAAAAGTTATCTGCTGAGCTAGATACTGAAGCCAGCTCAAAGAAATGCACGTCCCCGCTTCTCAAAGGCTTCCCAGAGCAGAAAACCCCCATACAATATGTTGGTTGCTTGTGGCGAGGATTTACATACTCTGCCAGGAAGAGCTTTCTTGTCTAAACTGAGACCCTTGTGCGCCACCACCTCCGAGAAGCCTTCCCTGCCTGCCCTCTTTAATTAGCCTGTGTCTCCATTCTCCAGCCTCCCTGCGTGAGTCTCATAGAGGAGGCTGCCATCTGAGGCTCTTTGCCATCTGGTTCCCAGCTGGGTTCTGCCAATAGGAGGGACACCGGCAGGAGACAGAGGGCGGGAGGAGAAAGATGCTGGGGATTTATTCGTCCTGCTGCCTCCCTGCCCGGGTTTGTGCTCCTCCACGCTCCTCCTGTCCCACCGCTCCCTCTCCTCTTGCCCTTCACAGCTGGGGTGCTGACAGCTTCCTGCATTTGCTAGCCCACGAGGACATCGACACCCTCAAGTATTCCATTTATTTCCTTTTACAACCTTGACTGACCCCACTCCATTTGTCTCCCGCTCATCACCCTGCTCCTAGATGCCTTCATAGCACGTAACGCCATGTGTAATTATCTTCTTTATTTGTTGTTTATTTCCAGTGTTCCTCCACTGGAAATTCACCACCATGAGGACAGGGATGTCCCGTTCTTGTTATGGCTCCATCCCAGGTGCCTAGAACAAGGCTTGGCATGTGCCAGGTGTTCACAGGACATTCGTGAAACAAATAAGTCAGCGCAGGTGGCATGGCTGCATGCTCATCGCTGCACTGAAGGGACCCGCAGCCAGCATCGTGCCCGGAGCCCGCTCCTGGCCTGTCTCTGTGGTTTTGGTGCTGGTAGTGGGAGGCAGTGTCAGGGAAGAAAGTCCTCTTCTCCTGGAATTCACCCGGTGCCCTTCGGGAGATCAGCTGCTCTCAAGGCTGCGGCCGCCTTCTCTGTGAGATGAGGGGCTGGGTCGGCCCAGTGGGTCTCAACTGTGCCCTCTCCCCCAGGGGACATTTGGCAATGTCTGGAGGCATTTTTGGTTGTCACAACAAGAGGGGCGATGCTACTGGCATCTAGTGTGTAGAGGCCAGAGATGCTGCCATGCATCATACAGCACACAGGCCAGCCCCACGACAGAGAATGATCCCGACCCAAATGGCAAGAGTCCCGAGGGTGAGACACCCTGGATTCAGGGCTCTCCAGGGCCTGCCCTCACCCCCACCCCACGATTCCTCGCCTCTGTTCAACTTGTCCTTGCGCCTCTTGCAGGATCTCCGTGCCCGAGACCTGGACCAAGTTCAGTAACGACAACATCAGGCACTCGCAGAACATGAGGGCCAACTCCATCCGGCTGCGGGAGGAGGCCGAGAGCCTCTTTGAGACCCTGTCGGACCAGATGTGGGAGCAGTTCACCAACACCAATCTGGCCTTCAACGCCCGCGTCTCCGAGGTGACAGACGTGAAGAACAAGCTGCAGACGCAGCTGGCGAAGGTGAGCGAGCTGCGCCTTGGGACCGTTGTCCACTCTGCCGAACCCTTGCCTTCCTCCCATGGGCCTCAGCAGCATCTGGCCAAGCGGCCTGCCCACCCCAGGGGCTGAAACGGTCCCACCCATCTCATGGTCTAGGAGCTCGTCCACCCTAAAAGGAGGTGGGCTGTGAGCTTCCTGGGGGGTTCGAGCATCTGGGGTAAATCCTGCCTTGCTCACCGGACGATGGAGGTGGAGCTTGGTCCAAGAGGCTGTTGATGGCCCCCACGGCCCTTCCTTCCATCTGATGGCCATGTGGCTGAGCATGACCAGAGAGAGTGGGTATAGGTATCGAGGCCCCAGGAGACAAGTCTGAGCAGACCATCTCGGTCTACATCAGCATCTTTGGAAATGTAACCTTCTGACCTTCAAAGGCTTCAGCAGCATCAGGGCGCCCTGCTGAGGGATGGGGTGGTTTTTGATCTGAGGAGTCGGAAGGACTGCCTAATCCTGTCCCTCTCCCCTCTACGCCCCCACCCACAGGTTTTTTTTTCTATACTCCTTATTCGAATGTGTCACGCTGTTTCACAGCTCTGGGGGCGTCCTCTCTGCATGGAATTTATCCTTCCTGCTGCACATAAATTTAGAGTGCCTCCTGGGGGCCAGATGCTATGCCAGGCACTCGGAATGAAAAAAGGAGCCACAAAAACGGTCCCCTGGTCCCTGTCCTCGGGGGACTTACCTTCTGGTTGGGGAGCAGTGGTGGCTGTGAAATTTATACACGGGAAAGACTTAGGGATGACCATCTGATTGGAGGAACCGGCAGGCAGGGGACCAACCTTGAAACCTGTATTCACAAACATGGTTGTAGAAATAGATTTTGTATATATAGTTGGGGGGTGGGAGCTGCATCCAGGGTTTAATGGAAATTTCAGGGGCAGTGTAAGCCCACCCACGATGCCACCCTTTGGCCTGGGGTGTGAAGGAGGCAGATAAAACAGAAGTTTCTGTGAAATAATCGCAAGGTTGTAATAAGTGGCATGAGAGCAGCAGCAAGGAGATGTGCAGAGGATCTCATGGGGACCTTACACGGGGTGGAGCAGACAGGCCGGTGACAGTTACATCAAGAGCAGATCACTGGGGGGTCAGGCAGCTGAAGGATGGTGGGAAGAGTATTCCCGAGAGAGGCCAGTGAGTGCAAGGACCTGTGTGGGATGAGGTTGGAGGAAGGGTCCTGGGAGGTCCTGGTGAGGGGTTTGCATTTTACTCTGAGAACAGTGGGAGCCTTCGCAGGGTTTTAAGTGGAAGGCATTGGGAGCTAATCTCTGGATCCCAATGGGTGGGTCCTAATCTCTGGATGTGCCTTGGATGGATCTCTTTCACTCCTGGATGGAGAAAGGGTTGCAGAGGTTAAGAGTGGACACGGGGAGAGGGTTGGGAGCCTCTGGAAGGCATCCAGTGAGAGAGGACAGCTGCCTGCGCTAAGCTGGTAGCATCAGATGGGAGCGGGAGGGGAGAGATGGGAAATGTCTTGAGAAGGCAGAGTTGACATCTCTGCCTTCCCTCCCTCCTTCACTGACTGTTCCCTATGCATCCCCCCAGAGCAAGGTTGACGAACTTTTTACTATAAAGGGCCAGATTGTATTTCCAGCTCTGCAGGCCATGCTGTTTCTGTCACACTACTCAGTTCTGCTGATGGAGACAGCCGCGGACAGTACGTACACAAATGAGCACAGCTGTCTTCCAATAAAACTTTATTTACAAAACTAGGCAGTGGGCCGGATTTGCCCCACAGGCTGTGGTTTGCTGACTACAAATGTAGTTTTACGTAGTTTATCATCACTGCCTTCACCCGGTAGTGTTAGAGGCACAGACTGAGCATGACTGCCTGGGTGTGAATCCTGGCTCTGCCATGTCTGTAACCCTGGACAACTTCCTTAACCTCTCTGTGCGTCAGTTTCCTTATCTGTAGAATGGGGATGATAATGTTTCCAACCTCAAGGCTGCCAGGAGGATTATCTGAGCTGATGTCGGTAAACTAGCTGAACGAGTGCCTGGTACCCAGTGAGCACTGTGTCCGTGGCTGTGATTGTGCTGTGTTAGTTGGTTTACTTGCGTGCATCACTCCTGATTCAGCCGCGCTCCCCCACCACCTCGCATACTGCCTGGCACACAGTAGACGGTCCTGAAATCTCTGTGCAGTGAATGAAAGGAATCTACAATGGGGAGTTTTCTACTGATTTTCTTTTTCAAGATTGGCCCTGAGCTAACATCTGCTACCAATCTTTTTTCTTTTTCTTTCTCGCCAAAGCCCCCCAGTACATAGTTGTATATTCAAGTTGTGGGTCCTTCTAGTTGTGCTATGTGGGACGCCACCTCAGCACGGCCTGATGAGCAGTGCCATGTCTGCGCCCAGGATCCGAACCAGCGAAACCCTGGACCACCAAAGGGGAGCACGTGAACTTAACCACTAGGCCACAGGCCCAGCCCCTGTACTGATGTTTTTTAAAGAATGATGGGTGAATGAGTGAATACTTTTAATTCCAAATATTTTCTCTCTTTCTTTTGGGAAAAATTATGGGATTATTGTGGGAAAATATACATAATAAAAACTTTACCATTGTCTTAGTCCTTTTGAGCTGCTGCAACAAAAATACCACAGGCTGAGTGGCTTATGAGCAAGAGAAATTTATTTGTCACAGTTCTGAAGACTGGGAAGTCCAGTATCAAGGCACCAGCAGATTCCGCGTCTAGTGGGGACCCACTTCCTGGTTCCTAGGCGCACTGTCTTCTCGCTGTGTCCTCACATGGTGGAATAGTCAAGGGAGCTCTCTGAGGTCTCTTATAAAGGCGCTAATCCCATTCGTGAGCCACTGATGACCTAAGCACGTCTAGAAGACTCCAGCTTCTAATAGTGTCACAATGGGGATTAGGTTTCAACATACGAATTTGGGGAGAGACAGATATTCAGTCCATAGCAACCAGTAAGGGTACAGTTCACCCGTGCTAAGTACTGTCACATTGTTGTGCGACCATCGCCGCCATCTGCCTCTGCAACGTTTTTCATCTTCCCAAACTGAAAGGACTCCGTGCTTACACTCCAGGCGGGCCCATTAAACAACAATTCCTCATTCCCCTCTCCCCCTGGCAACCGCTACTCTCCTTTCCGTCTCTGTGCATCGAGTACTCTAGGTACTTCCTGTTAGTGGACTCGCACAGTATTTGTCCTTTTGTGACTGGCTTATTTCACTTAGCCCAAGGTCTTCAAGGTTCATCCGTGTTGCAGCGTGTGTCAGAATTTCCTTGCTTTGTAAGGCTGGATAATATTCCATTGACTGCACACACTGTGTATCCATTCATCCTTCTATGACTACTTGGGTTGTTTCTACCTTTTGGCTTTTATTCAAGCATTTTCTTCTAAGAGGCATTTCCCGTGGTGGATCAAATACAGGTCATTGTCATGTTTCGTGGCATGAAGTCTGAGGCCTGGAGCTGACTTGGGAAGGCTCCTGTGATGGGTCTTGGTGGCTGATTTCTCATCTGTGAAGCAGGAAATGAGAAATCCTGCTCAATGACGTTATTGCGAGGTTAATGAGTTGGTCTCTTAGAATAGTACTTGGCTCATAGTAAACACTCAGTAAGAGGTAACTGTAAGTATTAATGTTGTCAGTGTAGAGAAGAAGGGTCTTTTGGGTGGGGGTAGGGAGCAAAACCTTTTCCCTTCCCAAATTTCTCCAGGGAAGTTTTGAATTATTACTAACAGCCTCATTGCTGATCGGAGAGTTTTTGCAAGCACGTGGATTTTTATTAATAGTCATTATTTATCACCAGCTGCTCTGTGAATTAAGCCAGCACCCATTTGAAACACTCCAAACCTCAGCATGATACAGCTGACGTTTGCCTTAGCAAGGACTTGTCTTCTGGTTGGTGACTATCTCACCTGGTGTTTTTATTATCTCTGAGACAATAAAAGAAGGAGTTGATATAATGAAGATAAGTGTATAGCAACCATTTCACCTTTCAACAGATTGCTTCAGCTGGACGGTTTGAAATGCTCCCTTTAAAATGTTATCTGTTCATTGTTGAGCTTGGCCTGATTCCCCTTGGCAAGAGGTATTTCTGGAAAACTCTCTGCTGTGCTGCAACGCAGTTATTGCCCAAGACGTCCTAGGAATCCACTTTATAATGTGGATTCCACTTTATTAATTCCACTTTATAATCCGCTTTATGACATTATATAAAGTGGCCAGGTCTACACTGCTCCCCATGCAGACTTTGAATCCCCTGGTAGTTTGGGGCTGTGTAGGCAGCCTTAGCTGTTCACCATGATCCTGGGGTTCCATCCCCAAGGCCACACCCCAAACCTCGTAACTTGCCCTGGTTCCTTGCATTTTGGGGCTGTGGGGTGACTCCCAGTCACGTTGACCACTGCTAGGAGAGAGGCTGGTGACTTCTCTGGACTGAAGCTGTTGATGACCACAGGCTGCTGCCTTTGAGAACCGATCCCTCCTGAGAGCTGGGGCCCCTGGGGGTTCACCAGCCCAACATCAGACCACATCTGCATCCAGTTACCCAACTGAATGTGCCTTTTAGGGGGACGACTCTTCATGTGGGGGAGATGATGCCAGGACTGGGGAGCGGAGGTATGGAGCAGGGACACTGCTGTCAAACAACTCTTCTTCTGAAGTTGTGGCAACTAGACCCTGGCGGGGAAGTGCTAGTCGGCGTGTCACATGGATGCAGCGTTCACATCACTGAGCCACACAGTGAGAAAGTTATTCATTCTTCGTCTTTTTCCAATCCTTGTGATGATCTGAAGAGGACAGTCTTTATCGGATGCTAGAATGCCTTCCTCACCTCTTTTTAGAAATTGAGTTCACGTTGGTTTATAACGTTATATCAGTTTCAGGTGTACGTCATTCTATTTTGGCTTCTGTATAGACTGCATGGTGTTCGTCACCAAAAGTCTAGTTTCCGTCTGTCACCATACGCACGTGCCCCGTTACTCTTTTCTTCCTCCCTCA